CATGTTATCACGGATGAAACTTGAACAAATGACAATGAGTTTTAACAGTAGTTTCTATGGATCAATTCATATATCACCCGTATTTTCGGTTCAGACCATATATGGATCAATGCAAGACCAACTTTGAAAACCTGGAAGAACTGGACGGCCGTTTCGTCCTAATATGAGACTCCTCGGCATTGCGCATCCACTATTCCGCCCTCGAGATCCAACAGCATTAGTGTCTAACTTAAACTAATCCATGACATTGCGCGACCGTCCTCCATTATCTTCAGTGAGTAACTGCCTTATATCAGACTCCACTGTTCGCGGCTTTTCACTAAAACTCCATCTTGAGGCTAGTCACTGGTGAGCACATGATGTCGGCCTAGTGGTCTAGGGGATAGGCGTTTGTGCGCGAGGCCAAACCTACTAGGTTTGAATCTCACGTGCGAGATCATGGATGCGCACTGCTGAGGAATCTCGTGCTGGGACGAAACAGCCGTCCAATTCTTCCAGTGGTGGTCTAACATTGATCCATTCGTGATCTCAATCAAAACTCAACAATCTCCACAACTCAAAGATGATAACCGTATTATCATCATTCTGATGAAACGGAGGTCGTTTTTTCTTCATGTAATTGCAAAATTAAACAAAGCGGGAACAATGATGTTCACAGAGTGCAATCAAGCCAATGCATTCCATTCATCTCTTTTCAGTCATATACAAGCTAAAAAGTTTAATTGTTTAAATATGTTAGTATATTTAGGATTTTAATAAATAAACTGTTAACAATTGAATAGCAATCTATTTGGATGACAAATTTTATAATCAGTTTAAAATCAAACATTTGAAGAGCCCTTGGTTATTAGAAGGTCTAAACATAATATTTGTATTCAAAGAAATCAATAGTTTTCCTTCAATTATCTTGGTGAAAGTAACCAACTGTTTGCATGACTTATTTTTCAGTGTTTCAGTCTTTATTTAATTGTGATTACAATTAAGTGTGTTCAACTTTCTCGTTTTAATATATTCTTTAAAAAATCTCCATTGAACCCCATAGAATGTAAAGGAATCTTTTATAAAACAAATAGTTCCATAGTTGATCTTAACCAAGATATTTCTTCTGAACTGGTATAAAATCTAATTTATCTTTTAATGTTCTAAATCGATGTTTTTTAAGCACCAGTTACATCATTTTTTGAACGTAACAGTATAAACAATAATCAGAGTAAAAATCAAATAATGCGAGTTAACAGTGGTTTTTTAATATTCAAAATAACCTATAAAGTGTCTTTCAGATACATTTTATGTGTGGCTTGCAGTAGAACCCAAGATATGAGTTTGGTACTACTTGGGACTCATCAACTGAATATACCACTATCGAACTGTATCTGTTTTCATGGAGGATAGAACTCAATGTCTTTCACTTCAAACTCCCATTATATTATTCATTGAGTTACCGGGTTCAAATAGTCAAGTTTTCAGTCTTTTCATTTTTTCGTTAACATAGTGTGAAACATATTTAAGCACTGGCAATACTATAATTTATGGACGATATTTGAGCAACTTTAAAATGACCTTGGAATGTCCACCTAATTAATTGGGTTAAATCAGTGTTATAGATTTTGGTGAAAAATGACAATTAGGATTTAGAGTTGATGGTTAGAGTTAGGAATTAGATTCAAATTTTCCATCACGTACTGATATCATCTATAGTGCCGAAATGGTATTTAACTAAATGAGTGAATGAAGTTCGCGCCAAAATGCATGATCTGCTATATTAAATCTGATTGATTCGTTCATAAATTATAATCTCGCCGAAATCGATTTTAATTTTTAACATAGTTTGTTACTGTCTTTACATGAATCGAGATTAAAGTGACTAAATTCTGGGTTCTAATGAGTATAAAGTTTTTTTTAGAATTATTTGCAAGAGATTTTTTGCATTATTAATTAGTAATTTATCTGCTACATAATGGATTGCATAATTAACTATAAACCTGAAATTCTTCAATGACAGAAGTTCATATCATTCAATGCCAGTTTTTCTTCACCTATGAAACATGTTAAAAATAAGAATTTCCAAATAAATTTAAATCGATCAATATAAAAGTCTTATTGAACACAGTTGATTTCATCATAAATTTAGAAGATTACTTCTTCTTCTTCCAATAAATGAACACTGTTGAAACTTGTTAGTTTTAAATTCTTTATTGTGTCATTCGTTACTTTATTCAGAGATCTTAATAGACTTTTACAAGTTTAAAGAACTATTATTTTCAAAGATGGATACTGGCTAGCAGTGGAATCTAGGACGTGCGTTTCGTCCTTATCGGTTGGATGTACCTGCATCTATTCTTTTCTCTTTGTTTTTCAATATTTGGATGGGTATCTGTGTGATATTCTAAATTTTGATGATTTGCTCCACTTCGGATAAAGTTTTGTTTTTGTTTGTTTTTTTCTAATGTACAATCATTTGATATTATATCGACCTACTAATTTGTGGTTTAAAGACAAGAGAAATCTTGAGACATAGTTTAGTTGTTACGAGACTTTGATTAAAATTCCAGTGATAAAATTAAACGAAATAACAATTCTGATTATGGATCTTAAACTTTCACTTAACATATTAGCTAATCCAAGTTAACACTCTATACAAGTCATATCAATACTAACAATTTTATTCTCACAATTGATTGATCACTGGGTGGCGATCAATGTCATGCATGTCTAATCCTTATTAGTGCAGATCGAATGCTATCGATCATGTTACAATGTGGCCACCAGTCTAGGTGACTCGACACTTCGGGCACTATATATTGAGATTAGATGGTAGTTGGAGGTAGTCGACAGGTACACCTTGCTGACGAGTGCCAAGTAGCACGGAACCCGGGTCCAGGGTTTCCTGTTGACTACCTCCAACCACCATCTAATGACAATTTTATTCTATTTTGTTTGATAATCATTAATTCACATGCTATAGCTTTAAACGATGTACTTTACTCTTAACCTGATCATTTTTCAGATTATTAATTTGGATCATTTAATTGTAGAACCTGAAGAGAATCTTTGTTAAAGAATATTCTTCATTCAATATATTAGTCTCTTAACTACGATCGGATTCTTTAAACGATTGAAATAGCAATGAACAAAGTTTTTTTCGATCAGGCTATTTATTGTTGTCATAATAACCAATAACAAATAAATAGACTCAAATTTATCTGATATTGAATTTAAATTGATCTTAATCAATTGGATCCAAGTTGTACCCTCGCGTGATTTTAAAGAGAAAAAAAAAACTTTTTTTTCTTATCATTTCATTAAAATATGTGAAATAATACAAAATCAATTTAGATTTAATAAAATTTCATTCAATAATATAGAAGTACAAACGTTTTCAGTTACTATATAGATCAATAAGCAAATACTTATATGTGTGTACTTTTAATTCACTTGTTGACTTTAAATAAAGATACAAAGATAATATAATTAATTATATATAGAATAGATAGAATCCAGAGCGAGTGTTTCGTCTTCTGTTAAATGAGAATACATGGGATTTGATGTTTACTCTATGACGCCAAATCAATATCATTTGCTTCAAATGCCATCGCAATATTTATTTATTTACTGAGTTCAGTTAATCACTCACTTGTGTGGGTAATACAAGTGATTGAGCATTGAATCATATCATTAATTAGAGTTTAAAAACAATCATTTTCAATGTTTGAGCTGTCTGTGTTTGATTCAGTGAATTGACTATTTTAATGACAAAAGGGTTCCCATAAAACAATACAAATATGTATTGAATATGATTACTCTATAGATTAAATACCTTATACCTTATCAAGAAATAACAATAACATGAGACAATATCTGATCTGTTAACTAAATACAACTTTTGTATACATTTATCAATTAACATGAAAATACAGTCAGAAAATGATAAACTGATAAATAGGAGTCTGTCCTCAGATGAAATCCACTATCCAATAGAATTATTGAAATCATACAACTGATACATACTTGCTGATACGATGGTTTAACTTTATGATGGCGTGTTCTACGAACCTGGTAGTTTAATTATTAAGTTTTTACTGCCTTCCTAGACAAAATCAGTACAAATCTCAAATAGAAGTATACTATTAGAATTTCTCCATAAATTTCGTCAGCAATACATTTGAATGATTCTATCCAGAAATCATTCGGTTATTGTTTGAATATCTATTTTAATCGCTTTTCTCTCTATATAATTGTAATTTTATTAGCATTTGAATCTCTTGACTCACTTCGTCCATTTTGTAATTCTACTTGGATTATCATGCAGAAATCATGATTAGGAATATTCACTAAATTATTCTAATCTCAAGTCTGCCACTAACATTACTAAATTTTAATGATCACTCTTTATATTCTTTTGTTTATATTTGTATACTGATTAGAATAATTAATATTGCAACTACTTACATTATCACCTTTTATTTTCAAAAGTAGTATTGAAGATTTCCAAATTATTTGTCTACCTGATAATGATAAGTGGTTAAATTTTGTTGTGGTTTATAGTATTATAATAATATATATTCTGAAAATAATAATTACAGAATTCATGCTGGTTTACAGGCATGACCGGCTTTACATAAATAGTGTTTAATTCAAATATTGTTTAGGTAGTACATTTTCCACATGTATAACAGCAATGAAAGGTGTCAGCCGGGAACATTTATTTATTTTTAAGTGGACATGTTGGTGATGTATGTACTGAGCTATAACAAATCGATCATGATCATTTACAACTAGAGAAAATAGTTTTGATCTCTCATCATAGTTTAAAACCATATGGTTATGAGAGGTATACGATTGCTTTTAACTATTGATAATATTTCGAACTAGCAGGTGAGGACTTTCTTATCTCCAAATACTCAACTAAACTGTCTTGAATCTATTGTGAACCTATAAATAATCCGAGCAGGAAAGTCACTGTTCACAGTATTCAAATCTGTGCTCTACAAATCTTTAGGTGGCCGAAATAACATTTTATTACATGTGAATTATCACAGTTCGATTGTAATAAAACAGTTATCTCATAAATAATACAATAGTTCACTAGTGATTATAATACAATAAGTCAACTTATTTAACCCAATAGCAAACGATATAACAGGTGAAACTAAATACAAGACACAATAGTTCAGTTATCAAGTGAGATTTTTATGAATATAAAATGAGAAGGAAATATATCACAATCAATGAGAATGTATCCATATATAAACAGTTACCAACATGTATTTTTTCTCACAGTATATATGTATATATAGACATTTTTTTTCATTACTAATCCCAATAGAGGTAAAAACAAAAGAGATGAGTCAGTAAGAAAACAGCAACAAAATTGTACTGAGACACTAGTACAACTTGAAGAAATCGTCTTAAAGGACAAATTAATTATTGATTGATAAATAGAAGTAATAGGAAAAAAAGAAAACATTGGATAATAAGTGTCAGACGTGATTACGTAATCATTTATATATGGGGTCGTCTATTAGATATTACCGACCGCTTTTTATAAGTAGAAGAACATTAAAGGCTAACCTCCCAAGACTAAAGTGAGTTTCTAAAAAAAATGAAAGTGGATTTACAAGTCAAATGACGATAATGAGACAACAAACTGTCCGTTTAGAAGTATGCACTTGTGTATATGCGATGACGTTTCAGTGGCTACAAGTCTTTATACACTATAAAAGTAATTTATAAAACTAAAATGGGCGTCAACAATTCAAAAAAACAAGTAAACTGTAATTGTGATTAGATGAGACTTTTGTTTCACACATTAACAATTGAATAGTTATTAACTGTCTGTAGACAAACATCTAACTGTGGATAAAATCATAAATTGGATATTTTCTGGTTTCAGCTGGATTATCATTGTTCTTATTATTGAAGTTGAGGTTCTTATGGAACTGCTTGGAATAATAGTACTGCATTTAAGTACAGATGAAAATAAATAAAGCAGTTTTCTGTATGTGAAACGTAACTAAAACACAAACGAAAAGAGAGAGAAACAAAAAGAAATCAAGCAATATGATGATGATGATGATGATGATGATAAAGTCAGACAATTGAAATGTGAGATATTAAAGAGAGAGAATGTATTTGTAAAATCTCAGCGAATGAATTTCCTTGAAAAAGCTTGGACCAGATTGCCAGGCGAAACGTTGGATTTACTTCAAAATTCATTAGCTGGGATTTTATAAATACATTCTTCCTCTTTAATGTTTCACATTAACTCGGCGCCCAAATACTGTGAAACTATTCGATCAAATTTAGACGAAAGTTCTTATTTATTATTCTGCAATTAAAAATCTGCTTTAAAAGTGGCCTAGGTTGTACCTGAAAATCTATATTGGTGCCGTTTCCTAATTTTTTGTGTCACCTTTAATTAGCCGTAAAGAGTAGAGGAAATAGTAGCGTCTGGTACTATGTCAAGCCCATACGGGTTATTCAAGCATCGTAGAGACCAATTAGTTTATTCTTCTAGAGTCACATTTTGACCATGTCAATTATTCGCTTACAGCCTTGACTGTATTAATATGAGCGTATGTATGTGCACCGCTTACCATATTCATCGCATGTCTTAAGCTTATCTTTGTCTAGCTATAAGTATTGAGTCACACTTGATCAAAACGAGTTGGCATGTTTGTCTTATCCGGTCAGCTTCTCTGCTTCGTTTCCCTGATCGTCTGTCTGGGTCAACGAGTGTATGAAATAGACATATCCGAAATTCGTTCTCGCATTTGGATTATTTTATTCCGTTATTCTTTAATACGAATTAAGTCAGTAATTATATACGAGGGTTGGTAGCATGTATGTTTCGTTAACATCAGCATTCGATCTATCTGCAGTCAGATCAACTGGCCACTAAAAAACAGCCAGTTCATACTAATGATTCGCTCATGACAGGAAGTATTTACAGCCGGAATAACTTAATAACAAAGAATTAAATTACATCACTAAATGGACTGATATTAGGTAACAATATTCAGTAATAATAAATTTATTAAATTCCGATGTGAATATGTGGTGTCTAATATCGATCGAATACTCTGAATCAATAGCACAAAGAAATTACAAGAGAATGGTATTGTCGTAATTATAGAGCATTTTCTTCTAAAAGAACTACAGCTAATTTGCTCACTACGAGTCAGGAGTATCTTTAATTTTGATGTTAACAAATTTTTTCTTACATGTTAATAAAAGACAATCATATGTATAGTTATCAAAGCACATACACATTGTAAAGAACGTAGATATAAAACATAGATTAAATCGATTATGATAACGGTTATAATACTTCGGTATGCAGGAATTTCATTGAAAAGCTAAAATAGAAACTGGCATCAGTATTTAGTGTTCTAATAAAAGTATCAATATCCAAATGTAAGAAAGCATCAAAAATCCTCAGAATTATAATTTAATTTGTAGAGACTAGAAGCCCGATAGTTATGAAATACACAGAAACCTATTGCCTAAAACATCCAATGCGTTTTATTCGCTAAGCTGGTTAGTTTACTAGTAAAGCTTTCATCGTCTTTATCGACAATATTATCAGTATACACCCAAATTTATTTCACTGTATTATATTCTTTAAATAACATCTCCAAACACTAATCTTCCCGATTACTGCTTATACTCTTATTACCTCTACCACTACGGGATTTGAATCGACCACTGCATCTCTGTGCTAATGTGATGTGGCAACTCGAACTGATGTACGTACGTACGAAGTTCTACATCGTTACTAACTGACTGACTGTGTGATGATATTGTTGTCGTGAAAGACAATGAAAGCTTTACTAGCAAACTATGTAGCTCAGATAACATATTCAAATCCTTATCCTGAGCTAGAAATATTGCCGTTATCTCACTTTGAGTATTCCATTACTTAATTACGGATCTATTTAATTTGAAGTTCATTATAAATTGAAAATTATTCAAAAAGCAACAATGTGTTTTCATGAGTTTAAAAATAATTTCATTAGAAATACAGACCACTTCAATCATATTAATCTCCTTAATTTGCCAGCTGATGCATACCAAATAGGACGAAACATGCGTCCTAGATTCCATTGCTAGCCACCACCCATCTCTGCCTAATTCAGTGGTTCATGATTGATTTAAATATAGTTAAATATAGTAAATAATATACAGTTTACTAGATTACACAAAGAACAACCAGCCAGTTTTAAATTTTATCACAGTGGTTTTATGAATATGAATATGAATATCTCCAATTTTTGTCGTTCTGGACTTTTTGAAATCAAATTAAATTGTTACTGAGATGTTTGGGCAGGTAAAATGTTTCATAGGATCGAAGTGAAATGAAAATGATGTGTAGTAGCTAAAGGCTCGTTTCATTTATCCTATTTATTTTGCATCGCTTTACAGGAAACTGTTAATTTTTATAAATCAATAATTTCTTTCGAAGTTTTATAGCAGAAATGAATAGTTCAGTTTAGAAATTTCTTTAAGGTACTGCCATTCTCTAAGTCGTCCGCTTTCACTTTTTTTGTAGTGCTGAAGCTCCTCTCACAAACGCACACACAAAAGTCTGTACAGTTAAGTACTTCTGTAGATTTTTTCCCTTTTCAAATTACCAGCTATTTTTTACTCTACAAAAAGGAACTCACACCTCAAACCAATCTAATCCTGATTATTTTTGGATTTTCTGAGTATTCTTTTTTTAAACCTATCTTATCAACTTTTGTTACTATTAATCTTCATCTCGTTACTAGGACTTCTATGGTTAATATATCCAATCTCTATAGCAACCCCATTTTAAGCGTTTTTAATGAGAATTATAATATTTGATTTTTTGTCCGGTTTTATACTTCCTTGTTATTAAATGCGATGAATAAATAAACATACTGTAGACCATCACTGTGAACGAGTTGAGTACGTTTTACTGATTGTAACCTTTTGAAAATTAAATCACCGCTGAAATGATCTTTTCACGTTCTACTTTTATGACAAAATGGATACTTTCCATTTATAAACCTATTTAATGTTGCCTTTTTCTCTTCACATTTAAGAAGTTAGGCAATCAAAAGTGTTGAATAAGAATAAATGTGTATATCAATATAGAATTACCAGACAATGTTATTATGTCTATGGAGCGCAATGCACTGTACCAAAGAAAGAAATAATTTTTTTCCGAAAATCGGATACTTCCATAATAATATATATGAGGATTGATACATTGATATGGTTAAGCTCGCCGTCTGAAAAACTATTTCTTTTTAGAAGACCAGGTTTTTACAGGCGAAAAATCGTTTTTCTATCGCCTATTGATTTCTTAACACTTTTTTGACATATTTGTTGTAGAGAATTGTTTAAATTATTTTTCCTTTTTTACTTGTTGACTGACTGTCTAATCATTGTTAAATTTTTCATTGTGAACTATGCATTTTTACAAAACCATCTGTAAGAGAAGATAAGTGATGTGGCTATGAGACTCGATAATATAAACATTTACTTCAAACCACTCTCATTTAAATTAACACATATATTGATCTTTGCACTAATCGGCACCTTGATATTGTTAAGACTTCATTGTCGGTCGAACACTATGGAATGCAAGCTTCCAATCTGTCAGTTTTTGAAAATGGTTTATCCATAGGATAAAATATAGTTGGTTCTAGGTGTTTAAAAAACATGAGGAACTAAACGATATTATATGTAATAATCAGCCAGTATTGGAAAATTTCGTTTCCAATATCTAAACTGTAACATATTTAACATAAGATTAAAATCCCCCAAAAAAACACAAATTTATTTAAAGGTTCAGATGAGATTTGCAAGATATTTGAAGGTTATTCAGACAAGTGATGAGGGGATTATTTCGATACATTGGCTACAATTGTCCAGACTATTTTCAGTATGTTTGTTGAGGATATTGTTCACCAATTTCAGACATCCACACCAAGCAAATGGAGAATATTCACTATTCAACAATGAAATTCACTGCCTAAAGAAATTATTGTTTATTCTAAAATCATTTGTATTCATTCACCAGTCACAAACATATACTTTGCTTATAAGTATCGTTACCAAGGTTTGAGTTAATTTGGAATAAATTGAGGATTGGGCAGACTGTTAATAGTAATGAAATTATGATACATGTGTCATGACCAGATGAGTAGAAATTAGAATTTCTAGAAAGCGACGTATGCTCGTTATAAATAAATGAAAATATAGGATTAACTATGATACTCCGCTAGAAACGCACGATCTTACATACATTAAAAATTCATTTATTTAACTTCATAAAATAATAAAAACTGATCAGTACAGCATGCCTCCCTTTAAATCTAGCCTCTTGTAGTGCACTTAGATAAATATAAAGATATGCAGGTAATGTAAACCTTTACACAAGTCACTGTATATACAGATACACACAAACACACATAAATGCGCGAAACAGATATCCTCATTCATATAGTTCTACAATTCATATTTGATAAAATCAATTGAACCGATATAAATAAATACATCCATATCCGGTCACAATAATTACTTTTACGATTGCAAAGAATAAATTATAATAAAAATATTGAGATAGCTGGATTCAGTGAATAGTTCACTCTAATGGAATTATGAAAATGAATAAAACTGAGAATTCTTAGGAATACACAATCGGCCAACAGAGAACCGTAACCTCATGAGTCAATAATTATTGATTATAATTATACCAATGTGATTAAGTAGAAGTTTAAAAAAACTGTGCTAAATTATGAATTACCTAAAGTTATAAATATGGATCGATAGACTGATGTACTCGCATAAAATACTGAAAACTTTAAGTTCAGTCTCCAGTGATGTTATAGATTTGCATTGCTAAGAAATCATTATCTTAAACAAAACGACTGTACAGTATCTCTCATTAATCCATGTCCCATTGAATAATGTCAGTTCGGGATGAAAATTTCAAGAATATTATCATCATATTTGGCTTAGATGGGAGGGCAAAGATTTGTGGCTCAGGAAGAAAAATAATGAAGCCTCTACAATTAAGGTATTCAAACCATAGGAAGCAAATTTACCAAAACCAGCTGACTATTGACAATTGTTTATACTTATTAAGTAATTGCTTTTTGTTTTTCATTTCTAATTTGTTGATTATTTCGTTCAGATTCCTATGTGGAGTTCTCTTCTACCACCTATGGAATCATTGTTACTTCGTAGAGGATATAGTCTCATTGCATTAATGTTAAGTGTACCAACGTGGATGATATTTTTCTATACGTTGTTATTTCTATTTTGATCAATTCAGACCAATTTTTTCGTAGTTTACTGCAAAGTACCCAATGCTTTGTACATTTGGTGAGAAACATTATTATAGCATAATAATAATGAGTAAACCACAAGCCATCAAATATATATTTTTATTTATAACAATCATCCCAATGCTCAATTTATTCGAAATTATCAAATCAAACCTTGGTAATGACACCTACACAAGCCATCAAATTACTTTGGATGATAATTGGTTTTTAGAAAATAACCAAAGCAGGAGTTTGAATTTACGTATTGTTGGAATTGACCAGTCTCTTTTGGGATGTGTATATCCTATTTGGATTGACCCAATATTGCCACTAAGTCATAATTAAGTCTTAAATACGACGAAACACGAGTTGTAGATTGCACCGTAAGTCACTATTCAATGTTACTGATTGGTATCTAATTTTTAGGAAGGCAGGAGTTTCTAATGTGAAATCTTACTGTACTATAGCAACAAAGATTCAGTGACTGATAGATACACTGAAAAACTCATCAAAGTAATTCAATTAAAAGTAAATTATTTGATAATAATGGTTGGAGACTCTTGGTGACATGGCTCAGAATCGATCACAATGTAGTAGGTGTATACACTCCCTGTCTTCCCTTAAACTAAGAGATTAAAATCGCTTCATATCTTTCTTTCTACGAACCAATTCTTTCTTCTTGTACTATATCTCTATATGCAATCTTTCTCTTATATATTACCACCTTTGACCTACCACTGTTCATCTTATTGTGCTGATGCGGTATGGCAACCTGGACCGATGCACATATATGCCTGGTCCTACGTTGTAGCTGACTGACTGACTGATAATAACTAATTAACTTGTATGACCTAGTCCTATAAACAGGCTAATAGGATGTAAAAAGTTCCGTTCCATAATCTCAGACTGAGATCCAAGAATAGACGAGAATCAAGGTTTTTAAACAAATGTAATTCCTTTCATGCTATAAAAAAAATATCACTTAAAATTGATTATCAAAAATCTGATTGGTTTTTATTATAATTACCGTTCTCGTTAGGTTTCATGTTCAAATATCCATCTTACTTCTCTTTGTAAAGTTGTAATACATTATCTTGTATCACATTACATTTAGAAGTTTTTCTATTTAACCTATATACCTATGATATCGAAAACCAATTACCAGTTTTTGAGATCATTAAAATCTAATGTACTCACTACTTAACATGTAATTTTTAAATCTGTATCCCTTAAATACTAAATGATAAGAACTAATAGAGATGCTTTAACTAAAGTGAAATACATATCTTACTACTTAAGGATTTTTTACTTATTGCTTACATAACATTAATGGAAACAATTCGTCACATACACAAACACAATTCAATTATATAAACAATACAACCATTCACATTGATAAATGTGTATTAACCCAACTAAAGTAAATATAATCATATATCTAATCTTACCAACCAAAACGTTTTCCAACTACACATTGCCATGTTCCACCATAACGTTTATCAAATTCTTGTTTAATATATTTAGCTATATCTCTATCATCTGTAAAACGTTCACATGCTGCTGCACAACAATCAACAGCTATAGATTGCATAGATTCTGGCATATCGGTTGATTTGATTTTTGCATTATCCTGATGATTACTCATGATATAATTCCAATTGAACACTTCGACTACTTCACTGAAGTTATTTAAAATTGTTATCTTTTTTTTTCTTCTTTTGATTTAATAAGGTAAACGGGCACGTGGATCTAATGATGAATGGATGAATAAGTAAATAGATAGATAGATAGATTGATGGATAAACAGACAGACACAACTAACAAATTAGAATGTATGTGTATGAGTTTATCCATTGTGTTCGGTAATGATGACAGTAATGCATAAATTAATAATAGATCATTATCAAATAGGTTGAGTAACTACTACTTCTTAAGTTTAATACATCGAATGTCTATTCCTTCAGAACATTTTGAACCAATAAGATTTGAGTCATATCTTATTATCTTCTAAGGATTAGTGATTAGTTTTGTAAAGTAGTGAGAGAGAGAGAGAGAGCAACAAAATTTTATTGAATGATAAACAATGAATGACCCAACAAAAAAAATAATGGTGTTAACGTTTTTAAATTGGCTGATGTTTACAATTAGACACATATATTAATTTAAAAGGAATAAATCATTTATCATAGAGATAATAATTTTCAATGGGATAGTAGTACAAGGCAAAATGTTGACCACTTAATTATGCTGTAAAAGTGATAAATAAAAATAAGTAAAAATTAATCACTTTTAAACTAATTGCTTCTAACTGGTTATATATATACATGATTAGCATCTAAAAATTCGGAATTAATGTGAGGAAGTTTTGTGGAGGTTTCTAGATTTTCACGGTTTATACTGTTGAATCATCTCAATGTAAAATTCTAATACATATTTGGCTGTAAGCAGCTGACGAGAAACCTCGAAATATTATGAATTCATACTGTTCTGCATCAATATTTGTTATTGCTTTATTTGAATCATGTTAGTTAGAATATCATTGAAAACTAAGAATTATTTTGGTCCATTACATAAAGTGTTAAGCCATATCGATGATCAAAGTAACGAATACGAAGAATCAGTTTGGTAGGATAGATCCTATTGACTTTGACTGTGTGTAGTCAATGTATACGTCCAACTTGTCAAGAATGGATTTCCGACTAGAAGATTCACTTGTTTACATGGAATGTACAGATGACATAGTCATGTTTGGTGAATACGTTGACAAAGTGTAGTTTCATGAGAACAACCTTACCATGTTTATGATGTGATTCGCTGTTTAAATGCAGTGTTACTTCAGGACTTGAACTAATAATAAGAACTGGGTTAGTGAAGCATATTGACGAATTCACTTATCTCTGAAGTCTCATCAGCCCTGGTGGTTTGATGAAATCCCCGTACAGATTCAAAAAACTCAGTTGGATTTAGCTAACTTGAGTCACCTATGGAGAGGATGAGATATCCACCTGAAAGCAAACGATGGATTAATTGCATAACAGTCTGCTCTGAACAACTTCAATGTTGTGAAGCGTGGCCTTTAAAAATAAAGAATATTTGTAGGTTACTGGTATCCTACTATAGATGCTTTTGAAGCACTGCTAGCGCAGACTGAGGCCTTTGATCGACCAATTTTGAGGTTAGAAACAGAACACTACGCAGAGATAGCGAGTCGGCTGATGAGGTCATGAATCTTCATCAAGTGAGATGGTTGAGACATGTATTACTTGTGTCCAACCACCAACTACCTTGATGAGTGATGTTATCTGGTGTATTTGGTTGTAAGAAATCTAGAGGCATCCAAAACAAAACTTTGCACTAGCCCATGCAGTTTTTAACTGATGAACTGGGCTGTGTATTTAGGTCCAGACCATTTGATCGGCTTCCACGAGATTACTGTAAAGAATTTTCGGAAATGATGATTGGTATGACTCGAGATCAATCCAAATGACTTAAGTTTACCTACTCTTTGTCTTCCCTTTGGTCTTAAGTTTTAAATCTTATATTTTGTCTGCGAATTCACTTTTTATTCCCAAAGTATATTATCAGTGCCTAGGCTTTGCTTCGAACACTGATACTGTGACTACTTTTAGTAATACGGGACTTATCTTGATAACTTCAACTCACCGCGCTAATGTGGTGTAGCAACTTGAGCCAATGTACATATCTCCCAGGTCCCAAGATGAGTATAACTGACTGAATGTTGCAAACTATGTCGGAAACTGAAATAAATTGGATAAATCACTCGAATCAGGTTAATATCCTGTTTATTAAATAAGCAAACATAGAGGTTCTAACTGACTTTTCTCATTCTTTAAACCATGAAAGATAGTTTTCTAAAGATTTATTAACTTGATGCAGCATAGTACATAACGAATAGGATATTTAGAAAGCTTTTACGGATAAAAATTGAAAACAACTTGATTAACGTTTGCAGGAATTTTATAATCAAAATACATAAATATCACTAGTCAGAAAAACTTAAAAGCTTCCTTGTCCGCAATTCTAATTTCTAATGGTTATTGTACTGAAAGTTAGATGTCGATTAAATTGAAACGGCGCTAGCCTAAAAACAACTTCATGAATTGTTATGTTCAATAAATCATAGACATGCAATGTATAGTAATAAAATTAATTGGTTTAAATTACAGAAGCTTAATTATTAAATTATTGGCTAAATTCTGAAACATTTTGATTTTAAAGGGTCAAGAGTTACAGGGTAATAGATTGATGCACAAACACGTATATGAATATTTGAGCCGTCAAGTATAGAATATGATAACACAGAGAAAAAGTAGAAATATAGGGTAGGAATTACACAGAGCTATCGACTAAATTTTCAAACGACCAATATGTTATATGCTAATTACAAATAGCTAGTACGAGGCTTACCTGAACAGTTTCAGAGTAATACTTTGTCACGTCGATTATGAAATTCACCCATTTTTCAAAAAGCGTGTTAAATATATGCACAAATAAAAGATACGGAGTGACGCTGTATATCATGTGTGTGCATGGGGGGGGGGTATAAACGGACCTGATTTTTGGATCTCAAAGATATTCTTTGGTGAATGATTTGTGGAATTAAAGTTCGACGACCGTTTACTTTTTATACAAAATCTGTTTACTGTGAGGAGAACTTTCACATCGACTCATCCAGTTTTGTGAAAAGTCTTCACTCAGCCATAACATTTACTTCAAGTCACGCGATGGACTATAAAATATACACAATATTTCTCATTGTGATAATACACTGAACAGTTTTCCGACTCCTTTATGGGATAAGAACTTTCTTAAATGTGAAACATCAAAGAAATTGAAAACATTAAGTAAATGTACACTAAGTAAGGAAAAGCGATTTTTTGAAATAGTTTTATGAGAAAGAACATTTCAGTGAAAAACAAAAATATGTAAAAAAAGCTTACAATTATAAATGATGTTGTTGTGGATGCGGTGGAATAGACCAATAATTATCATGTTAAGTCCAATGGTGTCCTTGGACCTTAAATGGACATTTCCTATTGGTCGATATCTGTTCACTTGTTGATTATTGTACAAAATGTTGTTTTCTATTTTATGGTACGATGTGGTATGCTTGATTGGTATATAAACAAAGTATGTTTGAAATATAGTGATTCATATCTCCGAGGCTGTGGCTTGTGTTCTGGACTCAACTAACTGGGCTAGACAGGGAAGCGCAAACCAATCGAGACTCTAGGCCGTCCGTACGTGTTTGCGTGCCACTGTAGTCGATCGATAACACAGGGTAAAAGTTGGTCGTAACTTAAAGTCATAACAGAAGTACAATACGTTAAAATATTTGAAACAACTATTTTCTACAGAAGAAATATGAAACTTCTTAAGCGTAAACAGACATATACGAGATTACAACATAAACGCATACCAAGATAAAATCTCTAACAGTTTGCGCTGAAAGAATAAAGTTGGTGTAAAAATAAGAACAGTGGCGCTAGTACAGATACGAAACGATACAAACAAATAAAACTGAGGTTAAACAATGGATTTGTCTAACTTATTATGGTCGATTCCAGCAATATTAACTAGTACCTTTAATTACAAATTAGTATAAATCTCACATATCCTGATAAACGAATTACTGTATTAATGTAGTGCTTTGGGGTTCAGCTACCATCTTTTTTTAACATCAGTTTAATCTTAACACAATCACATGTCTAATTAGACAAGATTTTCACAACATATATATTTGTCAGATGCCTGAGACATAAGTTCATAGATTGATCGATCGTTTTACTATATAAGAGTATTGCATTAAAAGTACTTACTGTCATATGATTACAACCTTGTTCGCATTTAATGACACGAAATAAGAAGAATCGATAATCTAAGTTAATATATATTTCAATGAAAACGTCTAATCCCTTGAAAAGTCTTGAACAAATACTTTGGCAAAATATCAAGTGTATGCTATATATATATATATATATATATATATATATATATATATATATATATATATATATATATATATATATATATATATATATATGTATATATGAACTATTCCGTTATTTGGTTAAGCGTATATCACTTATTATGTTTACATATTGGATGATTTTCACACAGATTTTGTGTATTAGCCAAAAGAACATTTATTGGAATTCTGTTAATCATTAATTAATTAATTAAAAATGAGAGATATTGGAATAATTTTAAAATATTAATTCTTCAGTGTACATTTAGTCATTAGCACTATCTGTACCCATAAATGGTCACTTTTTCCTAAATTTGACCTGAAGCTATTGTCAATAAAGTTGGTCACAAATCTGCAACTAAAATAACTCAGTGAGTCAGTCATACACAGCGTAAAACCTGGCGCATATGTATATCACGTCAAGTTATCACAAAGAGATGAAACCGTCAGAACGAATCCCATAGTGTAGGTAGTAACAGGTTTAGTGGTAATAGAAAAAACTAGGCATAACCGATAGAATTTAAGGGAATATGGATTAGTCGGATGAAGAATATTTACAAGACAATTTAGAACATCTCGATCAAAGGGAAGACAAATAGTAAGTGCACCTCCGCCACTACGAACGCCTTTGAGCCGCGTCACCTAAAGTCTAACCACTGGTTGTGATAATTACGCGGACATCGACCAAGTAGTCCGCATCTACCTGTATGGCTCAGTCCAATGATTAGTGTCCAAATGAACTGATGTCACATCTAGCTTTCACCCAACCTACGAAACTACATAATTCGAGAATAACACAATTTTATGCTTTGATTTGGGTTAAGATAAGAGATATTAATTCGCTTTTTTAAATTTTGAACAAAGATTTCAAACTTTTCTGAAAGGGACTCAGCTTCTATAAAAACCC